AACGTAATGTATGTATTAATTAACCTTTGCTTGCCTAATTTTATTTCTAATCCCTATTTTTTTTTTTAAATTTAACGTATATTTTGTATTTTTCATTTCTCTATTAGGTCTATTAGCGAACTTCATAATTATCGTTAAACTGAGATGACACTGCCATTCGTTTGACTCTTTTACTTTCTGATTATTAGGTAACTGGTATAATACATCTGTGTTAAATCTTTGCGTTATACCGTTCCGTTCTATCTCCCTTTGATCTTCTCCGTTTTCGGTACACTTTAATATATGTGTATGTAAGTGTCATACAGGACATAATTTAATCATTCGAAATGTTTGGCGAATGAAATGAAATCCTTGATGGATCAATTGAAATATTTGATGGATTAGTGAAATATTTGATGAATCAGTCGGAATGCTTGATGTATGTTAAATGTTTGACTATTACAGAATGAACTAACTTGTCCTTTTGTTTTTTATATTTTCTGCTTCTAAGTTTTATTTTTGGCACTTACAGCTTCCTTATTTTAATTATCTTATGTTTATTTCCATAACATTCTTTTCTCTAGCCACGTTTGATCTGGATTTTTCAAATTTAGAAGTTCAAAGGGAGGATAGAAGAGAAGTTTAATGCATGTGTCCGCTTTTTTAAAAGCGAAAGAAAGCTGATGAATACAAGATTGTTATCGTTCAAAATTTGATAACCTTCGATAGGAAAATGATGGGGTTATTTATAATTTTCATTAGTGACAAAGAATTATATAACCGTTCCAGGAACCTTGGTATGATGCATATCAATTGATTGATTGTTTATTAACTGACTGCAGAAAAAAAAATACGGATAAATATAATGAAAGATATGCATTTCAGGTGCCGGTGAAAGTAACACGTGAAATAGGTATTCGTTTTCCAAATTTACCGGGTTTCTCGTCTAGTATGGTTCGTCGTGAAGCACAGCTGACAGCATCAGCTAATGTTGCTACATCGGGAGCTGGGATGACATCGTCTAGCGCCAATTCTGCCATTGTCACATCATCAGCGACGCCAGCTACTGAATTATTTTAAATCTAGAATGTGTGTATTATTATAATGCGCTTTCATATTTTTCATTTTTATATTTTAATTGCAATTTCATCGCATCTTTCAAAACTTTTGTTTGGTAGTTATTCCGTGTTATGTTTCAATAATTTGTTAAAAGCATTAAATGAACTTAAGAAAAATAAGTTATAGCTTCTGTAGTTGTAGGACATTTTGCAATAGTTTTGAAAAAGCTAGGAAGTTTTGGTTTCTTGAATGATTGTTAAAAAATGAAAAGTACTGCTTCCAATTGGTTTCACGGAATCATAAAATATTGATTTTTTACGAATAATCTCATTGGAAAATATAGAATAATGAATGAATTTATTAAAAATAGATTTTTCTAAAGATCAGTTATGATCATTAAATGCTGATAATCTTTTTTTGGTAGATAAGGAAAGAATTGCTTAAGAATAAGGAATACTGACTTTTTATTAGGAGGAAGCATTACAATAATCAATTATATCCTATTACTGTTTACCGTATCACATGGAATGTCACTGATTTTAATTAGGTAAGTGGAATCGTATTTTATTCATAGAATATGCTTCTGTAATATCAATTATCCATTTCTTTCCTAACTAAATTTTTGATCCTAATGTACTCACTCTTCATACCCATCCTTTTTTCCTCCATTCTTTGATACAGTCATCAGCTATCACTATCATCGTAGATATTTTCCAAAAATATCAAATTATTTACGTGATGGTATAACTATATGTCATCTATGTCATAAATAGGCCCATAATGTTTTAACTCGAAACTAAATCTTGTTCAAGTCTTAATCTATCGTTCTATGATATAAGCATGTTTTATCATAGTTTAACATTTTCCATTAGTGGTCCATCTGGTTGTTCATTTTCATCGTGTAATAGTAAAAAATATCGCAAATGGGTTTTAGGATTGCTGACCTTTGCAAAATTGTCACAAAATTTGTAAATTTGAAGAGTATAATCAAACATATAGATATGATCGTCTTTCTTGTTTCTTTTTTTTTTCTCTTTAAAAGATTATCTCATTTTTTCCAACCGTTTTCCTTTTGGATTTAAGATACTATTGCTTGCGGGTAATGAATGAGAGGATTTTGATTAAGTTATTTCTATATTGTCGCAAATTGTTGACAATTTTGGTGTTGTTGATACATATACATAGATATTTTATTTTAGAGTGCATTATTGGTATAGTGTTCTCGAGTGAAATAGGATTGATCTCTTTTTCGTGTTATCATCATGATCTCGTAGTTCTTAAAATACGTTTCTTTTTTTTTCTTCTCTTGCTGGATGTCATTTTTGCTTACTGTTTATAGATCATTAAGAATTAATTAGTTATCTTTTACATTGTACAATTTTTTTTTCCGCATTTCCAATAATCAATCGTTAGAATTTGAGAAAAATTGGAATCATGTTTTATTCCATTTATAAAAGATTATCCTGAAAGTATAAGTATCAAAATATGATATTCTTCAATTTAGGGAAGAATATATTTTTAAAAAATTCGTTATTTTTCTGAAAAGCGGAAAATGTGTGGGATCGAAAGGATAGAATCCATTATTGAGCTATCAATTTTTAGCGCTATTTACCTTTGTTTGTTTTGTCATAGTCTTTGATATAATTAATGAATGATTGACAACAAATTGTCACAGTAGTACAAAAAGTTTCCGAAATGGAGAGGTAGAAAGTAATACTCTAATATATTAGGTTATCTTTTTTACCCTTTTTTGTTACTAGAAAAAAAAAAAACTTGAGATATTTATAATCGCTAGAAGAATACCACCATTGATCTTGCAATCTTTGTTCCTTTTTTTTTTTTCTTCCATGAGATGGTAATAATGAATGGATGATTGATAGAATAAGTTTTTAGTTAAAAAAATGGATAAATGTAAAAAAAAAGAAAATTTCTATTGCAACCATTATTTTGTTACAATTCCTTTTTTACATTAAGAAAACAAGGAAGAGTCCTTGTCTTTTTTTTTACAATTAATAGGGAAATGAATTGTTATAAAATAAATCAAACTGAAAATAGGAATGATAAGATTCAGTTTAATGAAATATTCAATGAATGTAATTTTGGGCAGAATCCTATGTATCACAGAAGAATGAAGGAATCTATTCATTTATGTCAAATGTCAACCAATCATCCTTTCATGTACGATCTCATAAGCAGAAAATTTGATACATTCGTTTAATTTCATCCTATAACACTAGTTCTATTCACTAAAAAAAAAAAGCTCATACTTAAAACATACATTTAACATAAATCAAGCAATAAAGAAAAAATTTCAATAATTAATTACTCATAGATAATTACTGCTGTTAATTAGGGGAAGTTATCATCGTTTGCTTAATTATGCAAATAATTAGTAAGAAGCACGAAATGTCATAAAATATTATCATAGCAAAAGATGTAAGCATACAAAAAATGATTGATTCATTATAACAATATTTAAATTTATTGTTTTGATTTATAAATCTTACAATTAACTATACATCATTATCATTATCATTATCATTATCAGTTTTGTCATTCAATTTGCAACATTTATTTGATGATAAGAGGGGAAGAAAAAAAAACATCATATATCATTGTAACAAATCTCTTCCTTAATATTCTATATTAAATCAATAACACATTATCTGATTCATTTCTTGATGAGAGATTCCAATAATGAAGAAAAAAGAAAAAAAGTATGAATTTATTTAAATTATGCCAACTATATGGGTAGTTTTCAGCATAGATAATTCGGCATTTATCATTTATCACAATGATAAATGATACTTTCACATGTAACACTATCAATATAGGAAGTATGCAAATAAAGCAAAGGATAATTTTATACGAAAAATTCAATTTTAATTTCGACAACTTTTTGTTTTTTCGCCAAAATTCAACTTAGAATTTTTTAAATTCAATTTTAATTTTGTCAAAAATTGATAGTAAATGGATATTACAAAGGCATATGTTAATAATTGAAAATCGGAAAATGAATAAAGTATGAAAGGAAAAACGGATGGATAAACAATTTCATTACAATTCAAAAAATGGGAAAGCATTGATGAATAAAAATGAAAGCAAAAATGTATAATATACATAATTTTGTGCATGAAAAAATCGAGGAGTATGTTAATTTTTTAATTAAATTCGAAAAAAAAAGAAGGAATATCGGATAAGAAATATACCGGATAGTATACCGGGATGCCGGATAATTCTGAAAGAATTTCAAAATTTCTCTATTATTATGAATAGATGCTTGCATAATTGAAAAAATTTTGCTTCTTTCTTATCAAGGATAATTTATTGTTAATCTAATTATCTTATAAAGGTACTTTCCTCTTAGTCTAATTAATAATTCACTTAAATCAGAATGATTATTCATCTAAATGATAACTAATTGATATAAAACATTTCAAAATGATACCAATGAATAATGTTACATCCTAAAAAAACAGCAAACAAATCTTTTCGTTTAATTTCTCTCTACCAATAATGAAAAGAGAAAATCAATCATTTCGGTATTTTGTACTGGAAAAGTATATGACCTCAATCTAACTACTTGACCTGTTATGATAATTTGTTGCAACTTGAACTTATTTGTGATCAAATAAAAGCACCGAAGATCTGTGTATATGATATTCATCACAAAGTCACATAAATCGTTACTTTTTGGAAGGCGGGAAGTTAATCTAGTTAACTCATACACACACATGATCGAGAAAGGTAACGATATTCCGACAGGTGACAAAATCCGGTAACAAAATTTACCATCCACCTCCACCACCTTCATCATGCACAGCAGCTGTTGGATAAAGTCCTTTGCCACCAGTACCGGTACCACGAGTATTACCACCATAACCTCCACTAGGTTGGAATGGTGCTGCAGGATAAGCACCACCACCCTGATAACCTGGAGAAGCAGGAACATCACGACGTTTACCACCACCACCTAAGAGTTGACCGGCTAAATGACCCAAACCAACACCTCCAAGGCTTCCCAGAAAACTATTGAAACCTCCGCCTCGTCCACCTCCGGACCTACCTCTACCCTCATCTATCGGTCCTCTACCACCACTCTCAATATCGGATGGCCCTTGTCTTCGTGGACTATTGTTGGTACCACTATTCTTACGACAACAACAGCAGTAGCACAAACAACAACAACAACAACAAAGTATGGGTACAATGATAACGATAAGTATAATCCAAAACCAAAATGGTATATGTGGTAGAAGACTTCCACGTTTTTTGCCATCATCTGGTCGAGGGATAAAACCACGGGTTGGTGAAGGGGCACTTGGACCGAAACCACCCGTATCATCTATATCACCTTTATCATCACTTGGTATTATGGCTCCACCTTGCTTTGATAAAGCTTTTTGCCATGTTTCCTGTATGATATTGCCCAACGCTTGTGGAAAATCTCCTTGTTGGAAAAGTTGCTTCTGTAACATCATTATTATATCTTGTCAAATGATTGACAAACTGATTAGCTTGATCAATCAAATCGATCAACTGATTCATTAATTTCTTAGAAACTCCCATCAATTTTATCATAATGCTTGATACATCACCAAATACTTTATTTGTCGCTCTGTCGCCTCTTGATATCTTTTTTTTCTTTTTTCTTTTTTTTTTTTTTTTGAGAAACAAGAACTTAACAATGTCCTGAAATGATTTTTGTTTTACTTGAATATAATGTGATATCATATGTGATATATTGTCCTGAAAGCTATCATCCTGAAATTATATCGTAATAATTGCGCCTTCATCTTAACAGTTCTGATCAATCCACAGTATCATCTACCATATGTAAAATTTTAAAATTAATGATGATTTTAAAAATATTTTATGAAAAAATATGATATATGTTATAAAATGTAACCTTTACTAATTACC